AAATTGCAATAATATTTTACAATATTACTGTTTTTACTGTATTTTGATCAAATAAATCAGCCTTGGTGAGCATAAAAGAGGTCCTCTTGAAAACTAACAATAAAAATCTTACCGACCCCAAACTTTTAAAGAGTAGTGTTTTTATACAGTATATATCTACTGTAAAATTGTTTTAAAAGATGCTTTAATAATGTGAAATAGCCTGATAACAGATTTGGCCTTGGCAAAAATTTAATTATTATGATTATACTTAAAAGTTTATGATTTGATATATAAGCTACATCAACTATATTTGGTAAACACATGACCCCACCCAGCTAAAGTACCTTAACCCAGATGTGACAACTAAAACTCACTGTAATGGAAAATATCCCCTCTGGAAATAATGTACAGTTTCACTTCCCTGTTATGTTTGGTATTTTTGAGGTGATTTTGATGTCTTCACTTCCAGCAAAAAGAAACAAACATAGCAAAATACCACAGATGTGGCAGTGGGGAAGTAAAAAGTGAAATAGCTGTCATGTGTACCCAGCAAAAACATACTGCTGAACAATAAAACTGTCATACTCGACAGAGACCGTTACACATAGGCTATTCTATCATACTAGATGTGCTGCTGGTAAAAAAGTAAAAAATATTGCCCATAAAGGAAACATTTGATATAAAGCTGATAGTACAAACCTGAAACAGACTGGCTGCCTCGAGCATTCTCTGAACATTGTCCTTGGTTATGATGACCTTGCTGGTGTAAGTGTATTCTAACAGGATTCCCATGGTGTCAGCATCAATGCCTTTAATATTTACGTTTTCTTCATGTTTTTCTCTCAAGTCATTACAAAACATTGCTCTGTAAAATATATATGAATAAAAATTCAACTTACGTGATAACTTAAAATGATATATCTAAAGTAGAATCGCTGCTCTCTTACTATTTGTTTTTAAATAAAAATAAAAGTTACATGAAACAAGCAAACTCATTTCTTTAGATGTGAATGTGCCACTGGCTAACCTGAAATAATGACTGGCTGCAGCAAGGACCACTCGATGGCACTGGAAGCTCTGACCCTGTACGTGGAGGCTGACGTCGGTTAAGCTGTCTTCCAGCCGGAGACTGTGCAGTCCATCCTGCAAATAACCAGCAAACACAGAGTCTTCAAACACAACCTGCCCATCTCGTTGGTTCTCCTGCACCGAGCTCTCCAGCATGCTCAGACCACCTGCTGAAGCGTCACTCTTGGCAGATGGAGGGCACTCGGAGTTATTCTCTAAAGTGTCAGCCATGATCTGGAGTCCCAAAAAGTTAGATTTCTACTTTGAATCAAGTTCAACACCAACACCATGTGATGTCTAGATATTGGCGAAACACTAGAGGTAAAAGCTGAACTGTTCTTCCTAACACTCAAGCTTCCTGTTTTCATAACGGACTACAAAGAGGAAGTGCTGAGGCCTCTCAAATTTGGCTCTGCAACTTCTCAAGTCATTTAATTTATGGCTATTCCTCTGTGCTATCTGTAAACTAAAAACTGTATTTTTAGGGGAAACATAATTTCACATGCTCAGGCTATACGTCAGACATCACAGCTTCATCAAAAAGGAAACAAATGTCTTAATTATACCTTCTGATAAAAAAAAAAAAAAGAATGAAGGGACATCCTTTTCAAGTACAGAGATTATTAGACACTACAGTCGGACCAAATAGGATTCACAGCAGTATTAACATGAATTTCATTTAGATTTCATCAAGTACTGTAGTCAACTATATCTTTTAAGTCATAACAGAATGATGCAAGCTCTAGAAATGTACCAGTCGATGTTACAGGTTCAACCAGCTTTGCTCCAAGTCCGTTTTAATAATAATTTA